ACTGCAAAATTATATGGACCTGGTCCTTCTGGAGTGTCTTGTGACAGGAAAGCAGATTAACTGGCCTAGTTTCATTGTCAAGCTGCTGGATAGAGTGATAAATGGCTCCAAGGCCCATGCCACTCCTTATGGGTTTATACTGACAACTGTCTTGGCCAAGTTAGATGTGCCATTGAAGAAGTGGGAGATGGCCTCCAGCAAAGAGCACTTTGGGATCAAAACTCTGCAGGCTTGTGATTATCTGCTAAGTGTAACCCCAGTTGAACCTGGTTCATCCGTGAAGACTCCTGTGAACAGCAAAGTTAGGGCATTGGTTCTAGAATGTGGAACAAAAGATGCAGAAATTGCTAGGCTCCAGGCTCGCATTGCTGAACTGGAAAGTGAAAGAAATGGACTCAAAGATGAGCTAGCAAAGGAAAAAGAAAAGAGTGAAGGGATGCTCCAAACAATGCTTAATCTTCTTCAATCCCAACCCTCTAGTTCCTCCAAGCCCTAGAACCAGTTTAGAAACTCCTTCAGTGACCCAGATTCGGGACTTTTCTCTGTTTTTTTTTGCTCATGGTTGGATGTTTGTTTTTCTTTTTGTGGTCTGTTTTGTAGAACATCTCCTAATCAATGACAATGTGCTTTGTTTTCTCTTGTTCTATGAAACTTCTGATCTTAATAGTTAAATTTCTGTGAAGCTGATTATTGATTAACTAAATCATGTTTTCACTTGCAGTTGCCCCAGTGGCCATGAGTAATAATTAACATCTGGGATTCTAATAAAATGCAACTTTTCGATGATGCCAAAAGGGGGAAGAGATATTGTGCTTTACTTTGTATTCTGAAAAATGTGATGTTTATAACCTGATTAAACCTGGTCCTTAATGATAAGTTAAATTAAAGTGTGAAAATTAAGCTGAGTTCCCCAGGGTCTCTGATCAATAAAAGCACAGAGTTTGTCATCATCAAAAAGGGGGAATTTGTTGGCCCAAGTTCAGATGATGTTTTGAAGATTGACAAAATGAACTCAGTCATGAACCAGGTCCATCATGTGAGACACAGTGTTGATATGCTTGCACATGAGATACACGCGTGAAGAAGATAAGTCTCAAGGATCAGCAACAATATCTTATCTCTGAATTGATCGAAAAGATTGCATACAGGATAAGGAGTTGAAGTCTCCTTATGAAAAGAGAATTACATCCGGATCAAGAATATGGATTAGGAGTTAGAGTTGTTCTTGGACTCGAATTGTCAAAGGATCCACAATTCGAGTTCTTATCAAACTCTGATTACTAACTCTATAAAAATAACGATTGTTCTCTTTTACAGGCGGTTGCACATAAGCAGAAGTTAAGCATATTTGAGAGCAAAAAGATCAAGTCTGATTTGCAAGCAACATATGCGAGATACAAGTGTGCACGTCTGAAGCTACATGAACTAAGATAGAAGAACCAGTTTCATCATTGTGTTTATTCTAAGTCTAGTTCAATTGTAGTAGGTTTTCATATTGTACCTTTTCAGCTTTCATAGAAGCAATTGTATTAGGTACTTTGAGTATTCAAGTTAGAGTTAACTTGAAAGTGTCGCAACAGTTGAGGCTGTGTGCTACACTGGGATTAGAGTTAATCCTTAGGTTTACAAAGAGTTTTGTAAATGCAGTTTTTGGCTCAGTGATTTTAGTGGAGTTTGGGAAAATCCTACTGAGTAGTAGGTCGTGGTTTTTCCACCTTTTGAGCCAGGTGTTTTCCACGTAAAAATCTCTGTGCACTTTACTTTCAGTATTTATTATTCCGCAAACTGCTGTAGTTAGAACACTTAGAAGAACCAGGTTCTTCTAACGCGAAAATTAGGTACCACACAAATCACCCCCCTCTTGTGTGGTATTGACGTTTATAACATCACGGATTATAATAGTCTAAAGGTCTTTGGATGCAGATGTTTTCCCTACTTGAAAGGAAAAAAAAATTCTCTCCAAAGACCTATACGTGTGTGTTTATTGGATACAGTAGCCTTCACAAAGTCTATAGGTGCTATCACCCACCTACCAGAAGAGTGTTTATCTCAAGACATGTGGTCTTTGATGAGAACACATTGCCTTATGTGCAACTAGACGCACCACTAGATAGTTCAAGTGATTCTACTCGCATTGCTACCTTCGATGAGTTTTTCTCCAGGTTGCTGGATACCTCAAGCCCAGATGTGCACTCTTCTAATTCAGGGGAAGTGTTGAATGGATCACCATTAATTGGTGTAGGTGATCATCCTACAGCTGATGTGAATGCACCATCGTCTAGTGATCAGCTCACTCCTGAGTCTCCAGTTGATGCTCCTACTGATGCTCTTGATGAGACTGCTGAGCCTATACCTACAACTGATCACAATGTTGAGTCTGCTGAGCCTGCTGATCACAATGCTAAGTCTACTGAGCCTGCTGAATCTCTTTTAGCAGTAGTTCCTACAGGAACAGATGATGTCATGACTGCTGAGAGTGAAGAACCAAACAGCTCAGCTCAAGATAGTGCATCTTCTGACTCTAATGTATTTTCAATTTATGATCCACAGGGAGTTCAACTTGAAGTTGACTTGTCTCGTTGGTTTAATACTGAACCTAATCAGGATACACAAGCTATAACAATACAAGCTACACCAACTGATGATGCAGAACCGACACAACACACATCAAATTCACAAAGCCATCACATGGTCACACAACAAAAATCAAAATATATGCCAGTGAGACACATGTGTCTGGTAGCAGCTAAGGAGCCACAGACTATAAATGTGGCACTTAGCTCACCAGAATGGCTTGCACCTATGCAAGATGAGATAAATGCACTTCACCAAAACAAGACTTGGATACTGGTACCTAAGTCACCTGGTATGAATATAGTTGGCTCTAGGTTGGTGTTTAAAACCAAGTTAAAGGCGATCCATTGACAGCTACAAGGCAAGACTAGTTACCAAAGGGTATTCATAGCTTGAAGGAGTAGACTTTGAAGAAACTTTCAGCCCAGTTGTTAAAGCAACCACTATAAGAGTAGTTCTTTCAGTAGCTGTGAGTCTCCACTGGTGTACTAGGCAACTAGATGTAAAGAATGCATTTCTGCATGGACATCTACAGGAGGAGGTGTACATGAGTCAGCCACCAGGTTTTAAAGATTCTAGACATCCTGACAGTGTGCGCCTTCTAAAGAAAGCACCGTATGGTATTAAGCAGGCACCTAGAGCCTGGTTTGACAGGTTCAGTTTACACTTGCTCCACCCTGGGTTTTAAGGCAGACTCCTCACTTTTTGTGATGCATTGTAAAAGAGGCACAATCCTGCTCTTTCTGTATTTTGATGATATAATTGTCACTGGGAGTCACACTACACTAGTTTTAGAAATCATTGATGAACTAGGTAAGGAGTTTGCTATGAAGGACCTTGGCCCTTTGCACTTCTTCTTAGGGATTGAGGTCATCTATTTTACTGGATGCATTCATCTGAATCAGAGTAAGTATGCTGTAGAATTACTTGCCAAGACTAGCATGGCACTTGCTAAGCCAATAAGCACACCTCTAGCACAGAAGCATGGTCTACAAGAAGCTGTAGATGATCTAGTTGATGCCTCACTATACAGAAGTATTGTTGGTAGTCTACAGTATTTGACTCTCACAAGACTAGACATAGCTCATGCAATGAATTTAGCAAGTCAATTCATGCAAAGTCCAAACAACACTCATTACCAAGCTGTAAAAAGGATCCTTAGGTATGTGAAGGGCACAACTGAGTATGGTCTAAGAATCTTGTCTCAGTCACCATTCAGGCTATATGGTTTCTCTTATGCAGACTGGAGAGGGTGTCCTATGACTAGGAGATCAATTACAGGCTACAATTACTATCTAGAGCTAACTGCATATCTTGGACATCCAAGAAGCAACACACTGTGGCAAGGTCTAGTGCAGAAGATGAGTATAGAGCAGTAGCCTCGACATCAGCTGAAATGACATGGATAACCTACATTCTCAATGACATTGGGGTTCATTTAAAAACTGCACCAACTTTGTTCTGTGAGAACTTGAGTGCATTATATATGACAGTCAATCCAGCAATGCATGCCAGAACAAAGTATGTTGAGATGGACTATATTTTGTTAGAGAAAAGGTTGCTAGTGGTCAGTTAGTCACAAGGTTTGTTAGATCAAAAGACCAGCTAGCTGACATTCATACTAAGGCATTGACTAAGCAGATGTTTGCAGGTTTTCGAAGCAAGCTAGGAGTGGTAACTACACCCCTCACTAGCTTGAGGGGAAGTGTTGAAGAAGTTGATCATGATAAGGGTAAGCTTGAACGAGATAAGGATAGTTAGATTGCATTGTAGGGTTTGTACTTAACTCAATGTAATAGTCATACATCTAGTAGAACTCTAAGTCATTTGTAGTAGCTATCACCCAGCATATTTAGCCTAGTTTGTAGTTGTTTTGTGACTTGTATAAATTCAATCACTTATGGCTTTGTAATACATGTGAAAACACACGATTCTTCAATACTATTTCCTCTCAATCTTGTGATTTTCTACACTAGGTGCAATCACGACATCTTACAGAGGGAAATTGGGGTCGTGACAACTTTAGAAATTATTCTAGGCATGAAATTAGCGCATTATTTTCTCAAGTACCACTACCACCTGTGAAATCACCATTATAATTTTCTTAGCACATACAATTAGTAGATTAGACCTACGACCAAACTCTCTAATATGAGGAACATATATCATGTATAGTCATGGATATATATGATTGAATCAATACTCGAACCAATTAGTCCAATTTCACTTGATCGTTTACTTTCTAGCATTATCATCAGCATATTTGTATTTCTTTACAACTTTCTTTAGTTACAGATTTCTAGTTGTTCATGTTTTAGCTGATTCATATAATGTAGATCCAATTTCCTACATACAGCTTCCATACATAACTTGTTTTAACATGACGCTTCCATATAACTTAAAAATTAATGATATTGTTTAATTAGCACACAGACAAAAATCTTACTTCTCCATGTTAATCCTCTAAGTCTTTCTTCAATTATTTTACTGTTTTATCCACGGAGCATAAGAATTTCCTCTAATTCATTATTCATATATATCGTTTGTGAATGAAAGGTCCTCCACGTTAATTTCATATTCTACCAAAGGTAGATGAGCGCCTATCGAGATAATGAATGGATAGATTGGACTATCTGTACATCTTATTCCGTTGACATTCTATCCAAATCAGGAAAGAAATGAAAAAGAATAGATCGATCATTCAGATATATAGGGACTGGAATTCATATGGATGACGCAAATTGGTCGATGAGGATCAAATACTACTGTCAGAGCAGAATCTGAAATCCTATCATCATTCATCATATGTATATAAATATTGAAAACAACAAGTAAATAATTGACTAGCTAGGCACCGAGTTTAAGAAAAAAAAATTTTCTTTAAATTTATTGTCTACCGTTACCTTAAACACGTATGTGACTGTAAATTATCTCATAATTAAAGGGTAAAGGGGGAATTTAAAATTAAATTGTTTCTAAATATATAAAGATTGCCATTTTTTCGGACAGACTAAAAGGACAGTGTATCACATAAATTGAAACTTACAGAAAGTAATTAGTAGCATTTATTAAAGAAATTTACCTGTAATTATCTTAAAAGTGACCACTCTGTTTGTAAAACTGCGTTGTATAGGAACCAAGGTAGCTGAGAAATTGTACTCGCTGAATTTCTTCAATAAATGCTGCAATTTGCCATGTTAACAAGCCAAATCCGTCACACCATATTCATTATTATGAGTGAGTCACATTCATATAAACCTTTTACTGACCAGACACAGACTCAATAAAAGGAAATCTGAAAACAATTTTAGTGTACGTGTGGATGTTGGTTAGATCAATTATTTTCATATATTTATAAAAAAATATTGAGTCCTCTTAATATAATCAAAAGCTTCTAGGTATAGCATTTATAATTATTATTTTTCGAATCCCTTTATTAGAATCCCGAATGCTAAAAAAAATAATAAATAAAAAAAAGAAATAAACTTCATCCCTAAATATTCCTTAGAGATGATCAATAATGTCTTCAGACATTTGTTTTGTCCTTGCTTTAAAGTGCTCATAACTATTTGCTTAGATGTTGATATGAAACTCGCTTTTAAGTGCTGGAGCTTATTTTATAAATAAGCAGTTACATGTTTGGATAAAAGTGCTGAAGCTTAAAAAAAGCTGTTGAAGTGTTTGGCAAACAAGTGCTGATAAACACTTTTCTTATTAAGAAGACAAAAATATCCTTAAAGCTGTTAACATTATAAAGGAGCTGATTACTACAATATATTTAATTATGAATTAATGCAAATAAAAAATAACTTATATTTTAATTTAATTTCAATTTAATTGATTACTTTAGATAATTTTTATAAATATAATTCTTGAATGTTTATTTTTCACCACTTTCTATCAAGTAAACTTCCAAAAAAGTCTCAACCTATTTAAAATACTAAATTATTTTGCATAGAAAAAATAAAAACTTAAAAAAACAAAATAGTTGTAAAGCTACTCTTTTCATTCAAGCTTGAAGAAAAATGTAGAAAAATGAAGAACCAGAGGTATGCCAGGAAGCACAACAACAATAAGAGTGTTGGATCTGTCGATGAAGAGTAAACAAATCCCTTAAAGTAACCATGGCTAGCACTGCTTTTTGAATTTGGGATTTTTTTTAATCTTGTTAAGTTTTTGTTTTTTGATATGGAATTATAGTGGTTATTTACTAGAATGGAACCTAAATTAGTTTGTTATTCTGTTATCTAAACCAGTTATTAGTCTCTTTTAATCAAAAAAAAAAGGAGGAAAGAAGAGGAACGGGAGAGTGGAGGAAATAGGAGGAGTACAATGTTTTAGGGTTTCTTTGACTGAGGGTAATTTTGGTATTATAAAAACTTATAAGGGACAAGAGAGTAATTTTATTGGTCAAACTAAAATGGTTTTTAAGCCAAAATAAAAAAAGTTGGGGTTAGCCAACTTGTTGCTTTTAGCTTTTTTTAAGCACTTTTTAGCTTTTTTTAACCAGCTTTTTTTTATGCCAAACACTCCAAAAAATAAAAAAGTGCTTGGTTTGACCAACTTTTAAGCCCATCCAAACACCCTCATTGTCTCATGTACTGGAGTTCTTTTAACATACAGTCTCACACTCTAATGTCGAAAGTATAGTATCGGCCTATTAAACTCAGAACGTGCCTCAGCTTAAGTGTATTAAAAACCTACTAAGAAAGCTCTCTATTCTTATCTTAATTCATCATCTTCTTTCACATCATATTCAATTCTCTTTTATCATTTTTGGACGAAGCACTAGAAAATTGACTATACTATTATCCAAAAAGGTTGTTAAACCAATCATAAATGTGCTCGTGATATGCATTTTACATGCACCTTGTGGTGATGTTTCGATTGGAAAATATTGTACTGCTGGTATTTAGCTTTGTTTTGTGACTAGTTCTGGATTTAGCCTTTCCGAATACTAGCACTAGAATTTTGCCATTTAAAATCATCGCAATAAAAGAATAAGGTCTCTTCTCGACTTCTCTTATTAGAGGTAAGACAAAATCACAGGAAAAACAAATTTATAGTATTGGAGTTGAGACTTTTTTTCTTTCTTTTAAGTGAAGGGAGCAAATGCTGGAGGAAAAACTAAAGTCCAGTTCACCAAAATTTGAGTTTTATCGCTAAAAATGTAACGATCCGGCCGGTCGTTTCATGTGTTACCGCTCCGTTTTCCCCATTTCTTCTTTACTATGCTTTGTTTATCCGTATTATATGGTATCGGGTTAGTCGGTTCGAATCCGGAATGGTTTTGGTAAGGTTTGAGACACTTAGGGTGTGTTTGGTATGAATGAAAATGTTTTCCAATTTTCCCATGTTTGGTTGGCTTAAATATTTTGGAAAACATTTTCCTTATCAACTCATTTTCCTCCAATTGGAGGAAAATGTTTTCCTTATCAAGAGAACGGAAAACATTTTCCAAAACTCCATCTCAACCTTCCCTACCCTCACCAACTCACCCCACCCCCTCTCCAAAAAAGGCTTTTTTTTTTTTCAAATTTCAGTTTTTCCCCTATTACCCCACCCCACCCCACCTCACCCCCACCCACCCCACCCCGCAAAAAAACTTATTTTTTACCTA